TAATTTGATGGCCAGCTTTGGTGCTGGTAATTGTGTATATTGATATATAGTCATTGCATGAATATCAATAAAAGTTTTCTAAAAAAGTATACAACACCATAGCTTGAGAACATTAATAACAATAGTTTTGTTGAATAATTCAGGATTTATAATTTTTGAAAAAGTAACCAATTGTTGAAAGAAAATACTACAATTAACTAGTAAGAAAATTCTATAATTTTGCCTTATAATATTTAAGTAAATATCAGTTTTTAACTGCAATAAAAAATAATAACGTGAAACAAATATATTTTTCTTAGCTAATTTTAAAAAACATTAGAATCAGTCCCTCACAAAAGTGTCATTTTCTCTCATTGAGAGATCGGAAAAAATCTTTATTTGATTTTTTGGAGCGGTCAAATAACGAGCTTTGATTCCACATATAACAATTTATGTTGTGAATATTCTTATTTACAATCACTATTATACAAAATATTGTCTTTAATGCTATGCATAATTGTACTTTATAATAAAATTTAAATCTATATATATGTAAAAAGCTTCGGTGTATTAGAATTTGAACTCTTGAAACCATTCAATAATTAATAATAGATTCTATTTATTTTTAAAGTTGCATAGAAATAAGTTACCTTGCATTATATTCGGTTAATAATATATATACTACTTTAGTTGTTTTAAAATGAAGCAATTAGAATATCACATGAAATATTCTTTTAACATCTCAAGCTTTGATACTCGTAGTAAAAGTAGTGTCATTATTTTTACTACATACTAAAGCAGTTGTTCTTATAATAGGTGACCTTTAAGTTCCTTTTAATAATAAAATTTAACATATGCACAACATTTCGGCATTTTTTAACATGTTAATCTGTCAACAAAATTTAACCGATTTCATAGTCATTGATTAAGAGTCTTATTCACAGCAACCCAGGATTTTAAAATATGCAGAAAATTATCAAAAAATGAATAAAAAGATGAATTTTAAAATTTATTTTTTTATGAACCAAAATATTAAGAGAATGCACATTCCTTGCACATCTATGCTAAATTTAAATATTTTATCTATATAAGTCATAAAATTTATTCTACGTTAGTTATTGTCCCATGATAAAAAAATTTTTAGGTTAATAACTGAAATGCTAAAAAATGTTTTCAAAGCATATTATCACCCAAATAAATTCAAGATTAATTAACCTCACTTCACTTGATCTTACACAGTAAGCTGAAAATGTTTGATGAAACTAAGATTATTCAAACATATGGAGATAAATGATATTACTAAAGCATAAAGTAATGTGAATAAAGCACAATTAAAAGTACATTACATAATGTACATTATGTACTTATATTCATGCTTTATTTGCATTTTTTGCTTTAGACTACATAACACAAAGTATACCCAATCCTTAGTTGGATAAATGAGTGTTCACGCTAGTATGGCGACATCTCGACAATTGTTGCCAAATGTTCTACGAATGTCACTTAAATGATACACATGGGTGACAAAATTGTCGCCTTGCAATATGATTAGAAATTACAAAATTATTAACGAAAACTAATTGTTTCATTTTTATGCATTGAAATTCATGCATTCGGAGAGAAAAAATTGCACTAATTTTATTCAACACGTAGGTTAGGTTTCAGTTTTAAGATTTTTCAAATGGAATAACTGACAGTGCCTGGTTCAAAAAATTTTAAATGTTGAAATTTCAAATTTGTATGTAGTGCTGTGCATTCATGTACTGACAGCGTAATTATTAATCAATAAAACATAATTTTTTACTCTTTTAAAATTTACTTAGAATTTTTAGATAATTTTTAATACAATTTGTTAGTTTTTATCTTCTCTGTTTTCCTCATCTATCTATTTATTTGGTCTCAGAATTTTAATCTGTGTGATCTATTATTCTATTTATTAATATTATTTAAACCTTTTTTTTAATTTAATAAATTTTTTTCAATCATTATGGGGTATTGAACCTAATTAGTTTTAAGGTGTTATAGATAGTAATTAATGACTTTTGATGAGCACCATAACATGTATTATGCAATTGTATACTTTGATTTTTTTCCCTTCAAGTTTGTCTAGCATATTAATTTTTTTGACTACTAAATGAATACCTAGGTGGTCCTATTGGACCACTACTGGTGTGAACCTTAGATATCAGGGATCAGTCTAGGTTTTACTGAGAGGTAAATTTAGACATAATTTGTGAAAAATTAAAAATTAAATTTAAAAATCCAACACAAAAATATGGATTTATCATTTCTTAAGGAATACAAAAATTGTGAAACTATCGTTTTTCCTAAAATTAAACTTGTGAAACTACCCTCTTTCCTAAAGTTGGATTTGTGAAAGTACCGCTAAACGATAGTAAATTCGGTCTGGACAGACCTCTGGATATTATATACATTTATTCCCATCAGCAGAATATTTTCAAATGTTCTGCAACAGGACTTATTAATTTATACAAATGTTCTGCTAGCATTTCACAGCAAAAAAAGTCAACTTTACGTTAAAATACTGTATTTTCGTTCATTAAAATACAAGATAATACATAGATAAACTACATTATATTTTTGACCAAGGTAAAGAAACATTCTTGATTTGTTACTTTTTCAATCACTTTTGAAGCACAAAATTTTATTAATGACGATGATGATGAATTATTAATAAAATGCCCATGGCATGAAGGTTCGAACCTTAAAATAAGTACTGTCTTAAAAATCTTTTGAGGGGAAAAGTGTCCAGATAGTGCACCATTTTCAAACAAAAACATTCGCTGGTCTGTTGTTCCAACAACGGCTTCATCTCCATGAAAAGCATTTGGTTTTTTAGAAACAATTCTGTCAATCGTGGATCCCCACGATTCACAAATTGCTTCTGAAATGGGAATGGAAAATACAAAAGTTTTAAACTTTATGTAATTGGAAATTTCTGAATTTAATTATTTTACGGCTTGCCTTAGAAGGTCTCTTGATAAAAATGGTGATCAATTTTTCTCAGGGGTTCGCAGGAAAGCGCTGTCACTTATTCAAGATATAAATTGTTCTGCGACGTGCGTCGCAGTTTTAGGCACTTTCTGCTTCTGGGCATTTATTGTCCATTCAATTCTAAAGCTCAATGTGTACAGCAGCCAAAGCTCTCCGGCTATTAGTTAGCCGCAGCTTCAGTGTTAGGTGCTTCAGCTCAATTGCGCATCATGCCATCACTAACTAATACACTTTTAGAATACAATTTAACTACATAAGTTACAAAAATTACATTCCATCACAATAAGGGAAGGAAAAAATAAACATAACTAGCTTCTGAAGTTTATAATCCCGTAAATAGAATTAAAATAACAATATACTTTTGGTATCCTTTGGCTTAACTATGTATCTATGTTCACAAAACAGCAAGCTTGAGAGAATTCTCATAGTTTTCTATGTGAAATTATAATGGAAAGTTTATTTTAATTGTCTTGGGAGCAAGGAAAAAAAAAGGTTGTCAGATTATACTTTTGTGGAATGCAATACTTGCATTAAGAAAATTTATTAAAAAAGTTTCAGGGATATTTCCGCAAGGATTCCTTATTTCTGCTGGTTTTAATCGCCAATATGACAGTATTTTGTGTATGACATAAAAATTTAAGAAAGGGGCTACATTTGAACCGTTTAATTTTGTCCATTTCTCTGATCTTAATTTCTCAGCATTTAAGTTTCTTAAATGCTACAACTAAGTGTCGCCAAAACTTAGCGACTACAAGCAGTTATCTTCTCAAAATTTCAACCGGATTACAAAAGCGCTTGACATGTAATTACAGTTCAAAGGCTTTTTCATTAACAAACCTGAAAGGTAATAAATGTTTGCTTCATAATAGGAGATACTTAAATGAAATTCAATTTCTCAAATTTGAAAGACTATCTTTCCGATAAAAACAACTTTAATACTAACATGAACATGCGTACAAAAAAGTAATAAAATATTCCCTAGCTACTAGGCAATAAAAATTTGCAAATTTTAGAAACATATTTTATGATTTTTGTGTCTATACTTGTAATCAAAAATGCAAAAACTATCCCTGATAACATTAAAAGTTAAGTTAAGCAGACTTTCTCTTAAATATGACTATACACCACTACGAAATTTGCAAAAAAAATTTTTTTTTGAATTTTCATTAAGATCGAATAATTAAGCACCTAATTTTGACATGGTAATCATCAAAAAATGCTGTAAAAACTTAATTGACCAAAGTAGTAATAAACCTGGCACAACAGATGAATCAATTCCAACCAATTTGCAAAATTTCTTCGTTGTTTATTATGTTCGAAATCGAAAATTCAAAAACACCCATTAACAGAAGCATCCAATATCCTTACTTTTAACAAATACAAACAATGCCTCTTTCAAAATATTACAGTTCTCAGCTTTTCATGTATACAAATAACTTTATCAGTGTTTACATTTGTTTCTTACACATTAATCATCAAAAAAATTCCAACATATTTAGTAATATTCATTGACAAATATTCTTTGAATGGTCAAATCATATGCATTTTTAAAGAAAGTACAATGTATACAGGTAAGATGGGCAAATATTTATCGTATCTGTTCATCATCTTCTTTTGAATATATTTTTATTAACAGAGAAAAATGTGCTCTCGTGAAAATTTAAGAAATTTCTAAGCTCACTGTATACAAATAAGAAGAAATTTTGTATTTGTTTTTTTCTATAGTAATAATCAAATAATACTTAATAAAAAATAATTCTTGCAATCGTTGTAGTGCATTTTTTAAATGGTCAAAATCATATACATTTTCTAAAAGAGGGGCAATTCATAAACTAATTTTAAAAGTCAGTGTGTCCAATATTTAATTATTTCCATAAATCAACTTAAATTCAAAATCAAATTTCGCATAAAAATAAGTACAATACACCTGGCACAACTGATGGATCAATTCCATCAGCCCCTGCCGGGCGAGTCCAAAATAGAAAAATAAATATAATTTTGCTTACCTCTGATAGGAAAGTCTGTGCTGCTTTCTGTGCCCCAACATGTAACAAGTATTCATAAACATATAATGCTAACCTAAAAGAAAACGAAACAACGATGTAGAAACTATTTACACTAAAAAACAACACTATCCCATCACCCCTCGCGCATCGAGATGGTATATTCCTGGCCATATGCCTTTGAATTGAGACAGGCACACTTCCCGCTACAGTTGAGATACGAGCTTGTCAAGTGTAAGCATCTTTGTGTACCTCACCGGGTACATTTATTTTGATAACTCAAAAAACAATTAAGTCCACAACTGTCACACCCGAAACTCAATTTAACAACGTGGTCATGGCAATGACCATGTTGTTCCAGAGAGGGTTGGGGAAATTTTTATATAATCCACATTCAAACGCACTGATTTTTTATAAAAAATTTTTCTCTTCGATTTCTCTTGTATGTAAACTTACTTTTCTCTTGCTTGGGCATCTGAAGGTACGGTAGAGCCTTTACCTTTAGCATACATGCTGTTTAGATGTTACAAAAAAAAATCACAAACACCTGTCAAGACATTCAGAACGACCACACCGACGTTGTTACCATAGAAACATAAATTGATCTGTCACGGTCGCGGATGTGATTGGACTCAGCCCTCTCGATACCGCAGTTCGCTTCTACTCTAGGACAGATCTCTGGTACGTCACAACTACATATAAAAACCGAGCGTCTACCATTAGCCTTTTGCGATCACAACGCCACCTAACGGTCGATGCCCCTAATTTATTTTAACTACCGTGCTTCCGTCTGTTTTTACTCTTAAATTATAGATTATGCCGAATTAAAAGCATTAAAAACGTTTAAACTAATAATTAACGTCTGTTTTTTTCAAAGGAATTGGATTTGAGCTATCAATATTGAAATTATAACTATCATGGGGGAAGACGAGTAAAGGATGGAAGAGCCGACGATTCGAAAGCTTCTCGGTGAAGAACCAGCTGCATCAACAGAGGGAGCTTGGAAGATGTGTTGAGTCGAGGGGAGAGTTAGCGTTGAGAGGGAATCATTTGGCAGGGTTTCAATTCAACTCTCGTTTTCCATTTTATCAACGAAAGCGGAACTATATTTGTCCGAACAAAAATATTCCTCGAACAACTATTTTACACCACCTAGACTGAAAATTCCCACTGATGAGGAAATATAACTGTTTACAATATCACAGAAAACTTTCGTAATATAAATAGTATTGCAATCTTAAAAACTTCATATGACTAATTCAGTATCAATATATTTTTATATTATAATAAGGGAAATTATTTTTCGAAATGAGATGAAATAATTTATAAGTAGTATATTGTTTTTTTTCCCTTTTTATTAAATGTATACAAAAAAATTCTTATGATATTTCATACGAAACCTTTGCCCGTATATATTAAGGATATAAACCATTTAGCTGAGAGAAGTAAATCTAATATTGTAAACCTAATATTAAATTAATTTTTGAAAATAATAATTATAAGATAATATAAGAGCTTGTATTTAGTCAATCGGTATTAATGATAGAAAAAAAATCTTAGCTTCTTTTGTTATTTTCACGAAAACATTTTATGAAAAATACGTTCAGTACTCTAAACTGATTACCTTTGGATAAAAAAAAAAGGAACAAAATTTTACTTCACTAAAACTATTATTATTTTTATAAAATAATAATAGTTTAAGTGAATGATTTTTATAAAATTTGATAAGTAAACTCATATTATAACCGTCGTTGAACAGCTGACTCAATTTTTAGTTTACTACTACCAATATTCAACTGTGCGGCCTTGTAATTTTAATCCCGATTCAGAAGACAAGGGAACGCGTAGATCAAGTACTGGGAGAAATTGTCTTTGTGAAAGTCTTTTTTTGATCGAACTAACCAGCATTTGCGTTACAAGGAGAATAAAACTATGAAATCCTCCCACAGTTAACCCGACTGCAAGGGGAATGTAATCCATGATCACTGGGGAAATTTTTAAGTCAGTATTGTGGTAGGTGCGAGCCGAGTGCGTAATTCGTATCTATAGGCCATCACTGGTACTCGTACCCGTGTAACCTCATTGGGAGACGAGAGCTCTATCTCCTGAGCCGACACTGCTATAAGCAAACTCATCATACTAAATCGGCAAAAAATAGTAACATTATAAATTTTCGTTTGGAGCAAAAATAAAAAATTAGCGTTAAGAGTATAACTTTTTTGAATGCTTACTGAGAGATTAGGTTCCGAACCGAATCATGAAGAGAAACTTATTGAAGAAGGTCTGAAATTATTGAAGAACCTCAATGATAGCAAATCATACAAGCGTTTCATTAATGTAATGCCAACTTATAACAATAATTTGAATATTTTCAATAAGAAATGTGAAAAGATTCGGTGAAATCACATGCAATTTATTCATCGAGTTTCTAGAAAGAAAATTAGAATTATTTATTATTTTCTTTTTATTAATTTACTTTTGTTTATTTATTTATTGTACAATATATTCTTTATTCCTTGAATATACGAATTTTTTGATTCTGTGTAAAAAAAAAATTTGATTCACTATTACGTTCTAAGATATAGCGAAATATGCAAACAGAAAAATTAACACGATCTTAAACTAATACGAGGACGTCATAGTGCGGGAAGAAACTTTTCATCGCCAATTCTGTTTCACCTCAATAAATTATTTAAAATTTACAGTACAGAAAAATGAATTCAGGAAAAATTTAGAGTTTGATATTAACTTTCAATTGCTGAAAAAAAAATTTAAATATCAAAATACAAAAAAAATTATTGTAAGAAAACTTCCGCATTTTGTATTCGTAGGTTATCTTCTCACAATTCGTCTTCATTTCAATATTTTGAAAAAATTTTTTTAAATATTTGAAACTTCATGGCTTACTCTAGGTTTGTCTGAACTCACTATAAACTATAAGTTTTAAATTACTTGTGGAGGTGAAAGAGAATTTGCGATGAAAAGTTTCTCCCGTGGTATAGCGTCCTCTCAAACTACCAAATCAGACTATCGACTTCTCTCACGACTAAGCTATATGGATCATATATTATAGACCAGTGGTCTCAGACCGAATCAAATGATACCGAACCGCATCATCTTATTAACTGGTGTCTTATTATATCGGGTTTGTACGACTTTCCATAGACGAGAGGTTAACACTGGTTACTGACAGACGTCACCTAACACCGCACCAATACCGCGCATGTAATTGTATTTTAATTCAAAGGCATGTGTGAATACAATTAAAATAAAAATACTGAATCAAAGCAATCTAAAATATAAGCAATCAACGTCCCTCTGCCCCAGCGGGCTGCGTTAAAATTTTCAAATTGGGAATCAATGTTATAAACTGCCCAATATTTTGAAAGTACAAATTCGAAAGCCATAGTTTTGAGCCTAGGTAACTCAGAAGATAGAACGTTCGCCTTTCAACCAGGTGAACCGGCCACGAATCCCAGCAATGGTTGGTCGATACGAATTCCGCACCCGGCTTGCACCGACCACAGTGCTTCGGAAAATATCCTCAGTGGTTGACGGGTCGTGGGTTAGAGAAACCATGGGTGGTTTTCGTGGTTTTCCTCTCCATTTAGCGCAAATCCGGGTTACAGTTGTCCAAAAGTCCTCCACGAAGGCTGATTTCGCCCAATACTACTTGATCCACGAGTTCCCTTGTCTTCTGGATTGCGTTCAAATTCGCAAGACTACGAAGTTGAACATTAGTAGTCCAAAATTGTGCCGGCTGTTCAATAACGTTTATTAAAATAAAAATAATAAATAAAAACCATCGTTTTTTGCCTTAGTTTTTGCAACATAAAATATCTTTATCACTAATTTGCAAATTTAAGGTCTATCTAATTCGAAGCTTAAATCAAAAATTGTACGAGTTGATCCGATTTTTCCCCGTACTGTACTAGCTTTCGAAAGTGAAAGTACAAAGTGCTTTCTGTGTCTTTTATGATATCCTATGAATATAGAAACTTGAAATATAGATATTTACATTAGACAGTCCTTCACTGAATGCAATATAGAAAATTTCGTACTGAACTTCGTAATATTTACGCACTGAAGTGAACTTCTTAGTAACTGGTAATGGTCTTAATGTAGACAGTTTTTATAAATTCGCAGAAGGAAAAAAAAAATAATAATAATTATTATTATTATTATTATTATTTAGAAAATATTTTTGAGCATTTCTTGTACTTTTTCCATTGAAATTTAAAAATGTATCTTCATTTTTAATGATAGATAAGCTAATTTAAGTGTATAAGTTTTTTTTTGTTTTTTTGAGTTGTCTACACTAGCCTCATGCCACTAGTGTGGATAAGTCTCAAAATGTATTATTTAATCCATTACTACTTATAAAAAAATCCAAGTAAATTTAACTAATTTTAGTGTAAAAATACGATCTTGAGTAAATAATCTTGAAAGTGTTTATAATAATTTATGTTAAAGCCTAATAAATATATAAATTCCTACTTCTCTTGCTCTAGCGAGAGATTTTTCTTGAATACATATTTAAAGTGGTAGCTAATGTTACTCTTTGCTATTTTATTTTTCATGTAATAAAATTGATTTACAATGATTTGGCCACCTCGATTTATATTTTATTTTATATTTTATATCCGTCGTTGAACAGCCGACCCAATTTTGAGTTTACGACTGCTAATGTTCAACCTCGTAGCCTTGCAATTTTGAACCAATCCAGAAGACGTTGAAACTCCTGGATCAATACCCCTAGAGGTCTTGATTTGTTATAGGGACATGGAGGACTTTGCGACTCGACAGATTTAACGTGCATCAGTCATTCACCATTTACTACACGAAGAGTCTTTATTTAAAGTAAAACTGGGCTGGTCACCCCAAGGTTAACGAAAGGATGGCTCACCTAAAATGACATGGCGCAGAACTATTATTAATGAATTGAAGACAATAAACAAAACAATTAGAGAAATAAAGTGCTTGACCACCAAACTGGAGACTCACGACTAAGGCCTTATGCTCCTATTGAAAACCTGAATTATTATTACACTAGCACATTAAATATTGTAGGAATCTACAATTTCCGCCATTGTAAATATTGCATCTGGGTTCACTACAGCTCTTAGAAACTTTTAACAATGGTAATGAATATTATAAATAAATTTTTAGTTTATAATTATAAAGATAATTATAGATAAATTAACTAAATTAATAATTATAAATTAATAAATATAATATATAAATACAATAATATAAATTTAATTTATAAATTAATTAAATTTATACATTTTTGATCAACACTATTTATTATTTTGTAAAGAAAATATATCTATATGAGAACTGTGCCTTACCAGACCTCTAATCCCTAAAGTGGTATCTTAAAAAAAAATCCTGTTATCATTATCGTAAATTAGTTGACACTAAAAAGAAAAAGAATCTGTTAACCTTAGCGCGTCCACAGTAGCCTCACAGCTATGTGTCTACACTAGTGTTGCTCTTTTAAACACAATACTGGTAAAGAGCTAACTCAAAATCTCCTATTGTTAAAAACTATGAATAAAAACAGCCCAAAGTTGTAATTTAAGCGAAAATGAAGAAGTTACTTTTCACCATAAAAATCTTGTTTAATTATTTGCTACATAAGTATTTTGGGTCGGTTGAGCGATGCGAGCAGGAAATATTTCCCTAAATATCACACATTAATTAAAACAAAATACTGCATGC